GGCATGTATAGCTCACCGTGCCCAGGTAAAACAGAACAGCATAGCAGTAAGAAGAATGAAACGTTACCTACACCAACACGGATACTATAAATATGAGAGCAAACAGCCACATATCAAAATACATAGAATATAACTCACTGGACTTAGTGAAAGCTCAAAATCAAGCAAAGATAAAAGTAATTCCTGGGCTGGAGAGATGGCTCAGTGGTCTAAAGCACCTACTTGGAACAAGCTTAGCAGAGCATCAGGGACCGCGGTTCGATCCCCCAGCGCCACATGCCAGCCAGCCCCGCCCCCTGGTGGGCTGAGCTGGCCACACACACACCTCTCTCTCTCTCTCTCTCTCTCTCTCTCTCTCTCTCTCTCTCTCTAATAAATAAATAAATAAATAAATAAAATTTTAAAAAGATAAAAGTAATTCCTGATGCGACGAAGAAGAATCAAATCAAGGAATTCCAGAGCGACAGTGCGATTCCCTCATGCTGTGTTACTCTGCTCCGTACTTGGAGACCAGGCCCTGCCACGCAGCCCAGGCCGCGAGGGAGCCTGCACCCCTCACCCTCGCAAGTGCTGGCACCACAGCTGCGCCCACCACGCCCAGCTCCGAGGGGGTTTCACGGCTGAGTCCGATTGTGAAGTTCGCTCACCTGTTCACGTATGACCTGTGCAGCGTTCTGCTTTCGTCACACCTCAAGACACTTTAACACAGAATAAATGATGAGTAACCATGCCAGCAACAGTAGCTCGGAAGAGATGCTGGGCTCTTCCCGTACCCTCCCGGCTGGCCACGCGTTATGACTGATGAAGTTCACCTTGGTCACCGATCACAGTGGTAGACGCCAGGGATGTGACTCCACTGGAGCATAAGCCACTCTTTCCTCTTTGCAGCTAATAAGTATTTCATAGGTAGGTACTTTGAAGCTATATCAAACTGTGTTACCCACCAATCTTCCAGTTAATGCATCCACTCATTCTCAGATTTCAGGTTATAACCCATTACTATTTTTTACAATAATCAATGACTGCCAGTATTTATGGGGCTGTCAAAACTGTCCACAGATTTAGCTAACTGAAACCCTTTGAGGGCTGCAGGTCATTTTAACATGATCTGTCATCTTGAAAAAATATCATTACTTTCTGAAACTAGATGTCTCACAGTATTACTTTGTACTTACCCTGGAAGCAGCCAGTTCTCCAATGAGACCTGGTTCTTGTTATTAGACAATGGCATTCAAATATCAAGATCCAGGTGTTATGTATGTATCTTTTAGAGGCTCACTTCAGGCACTCTCAATTCATAGAAGGAGGGACTATACATGCATGTATGCATATAAACACAGACACATACAGGTACACATTTATACCTATGTCCCTAGGATTTGTTAAGGAATCCCATAAACTGATTATGTATAAAATTTTCTTGAAAAAAGTGCCAGTGAAGAATCAAGATTCTCCAAAAGATGATAGTAAGAGGACTTGCTTTATCAACTGTCAATTCTAAAACAGCAACATTGACAATTTAGGGCGGCTCCTCCAGGCCCCTTCATGTCTCCCAGGAGCCATACCTACCACCCAAAATTATCCTACTCCTAACCTTCACTGTTCCTTAGAATATGTTCTTTGACTTCAGGAAACATAAATGTGTGTTATGTGACACCTAGCACGTTGGGCGCTACTTTATTTTCTATCATTTGAAGGTTCCACTGAGATAACAGGAGCCTTTGTGAGCTTGATTCATTTAGGTAATCAAAACCATCGTTCGTGTTTGCCATCTGCTGATGTCTTTTATGCTTATATTTGTCTTTTGTTTTGTATTATACCTTACATTTATCAAATGATGATAAAATTAAGTTGAAAACAAGATTATGACATTTCTTTGATGGGACATTTTATTTTTACCAACAAGGTTCTATATTACTGTTTTGTGTATGGATTTGCTAATTGTTGAATTTACTGGTGTTCCTTGTTTGACCAGTTTGGCTATTACTATTAATGCCTTATCTAGACAACCAGCACTAGGCACAGTAAGGTTAGAATATCCCCTACTAGACTCTAATACTAACTAAAATGTGAATGAAAAAGAAAAATTTAAATAAAATCTAATTTATAAAATGTAAGTGACCTTTATAAATTTGATACATCCTCAGCCAGTTAATGGCAACAGTTCAGCTGTCAGCCTCAAATCTGGGGGGACAACAGCCACTGAGACAGTCTGGCCACACACACACACACACACACACACACACACACACAGTTCTTCCCACTATAACACCCATGTTTAAAGCATGCTTCCCTCTCCCCTCTCCTTCACTCTTTAAACATTCCTGTTCTTCCCTCAGTTTTTTTTTTTTGGTCTGATCTTCCACTAGTGAAGAGACAATCTTAGCTTTTGAGATTTCCCTTTCCTGCATTTTCAAGCTGAGAGTGAAATCTCAGGCAAACTGACTCACAAACTCACTCTGAGCCTGAGGAAAAAAAACTTTCTTTGCACTGCTTTAATTTCTGATTTTTTTCTGTCATTTTGTACTTTTCCTTTGCGGGGGGCGTATTTCTTCTAATGGAGAGACAGAGAGACAGACAGACAGACAGACAGACAGACAGACAGACAGACTCTGACAAGGCTTTAGTCCCAGTCCGTCTGTCTCAACCTTTCCCTCCTATCCAAAAGCCAAGAACTTTCAGGTTGGCCTACAGACAATGAGCATTTGTAATGACTAAGACAAGGAAGCCATCTTAGATGAGGAACACACCCTTTCTCTGGGTCAGATATGACATCAGAATTTTGCTCATCCAGGAAAATACACATGAAATGTCCCTACCTAGTGTCCCGGGTACAATTTATTGTTTATGTGTGTAGGGAAGGAAATACTTTCAAAAACGTGTAAGTTGTGCTTGCCAGGTAATAATAAGTACAGGCTATGACCTGTGGGCTTCATAAGTGTGTTACAGAGACACTAAAGGCGACTGCCTGGGTGAGCAGGGAGGTAACACAAACGTCTCGGTGACTATTTTCCTGAAGGACCTAGAGCAGGGCTTTTCCAAGTCATTACTTGCCGCTACTTACCTCTGGAGATGACCTCTTTTTCAGGCTGGGAAGTGACCTCTCACCACTTGCAACCTGCCCTCCCTCCTCCCCTCACTCTTCCAAAGAACTGGAAGCAGCAGTTCAGGTCTCCTGACTACGGGTTTAGTCTTGCTAGCATCATTTCCTTCTCAGCCAAGGCTGTCATCGCGGGAAGCAGTCAGAGCCTGAGCTTGTGGAAACATACTTTGGAGTTGGACATTTGAAAGAAAGTAGGGGTGCGTGTACGTTGCTACGGGGAGGTAACTGAGCCTGACCTATCTCTTGGTCACTCTCTAGACAGTGGCCACCTGCTCTGGAGTAGGTCACCGTGGGGACACCGCAAGGGCACATAAAAACCAAGTAGAGATTTTAAAGGATACGTTTTCCCCCCTTGTTTTTAGGAAACTTGATGTCAAATTCTCCTACTCGTCTGGAATGTATTCTTAAATGATGAATTTGCTCAACCCTCATATACTGAAGAAAGAGTGGCCTAATAGTTTGCTGTATCTGGGCAGGCCAGATAGCTCAGCGGACTAAAGCAGCTGCTTAGGCAGAGCACGGGGACCTGAGCTTGATCCCCGGCACCACAAGCCATGCCAGCCCCATCCCTGGGGCACACTGAGACAGCGATCGAGACTGGCGTGCACCTGTAATCCCAGAGTTTGGGAGGCTGAAAAGAGGAGAATCACTCTGAGTCCAGTCTGTGTAGTGAGACCCTCTAGACCACATTAAAATAATAAAAAAAAATAAATATCTTCCTTTATCCAACATGGCCTGCCTACCCCGTAGAAATGAAGAGGGGATTACATTATGATACTAGCTCACAACTAGAGTTGAACTGTAAGAGAGAGAAAATGGTCAGAATGACCTTATGTTTAGGCTTTCTCTGCATTGAAAGACAGTCCTTATCTTTTCAGACAAGTGCTCTTCCATGATTTGCCCTGATTTAAATTTTCTCAATCCTGCAACGTGTGCATAATATACTGGTCAGTAACGATTTTCTCTTCCACAGAGAAACAGATGTCCTCCTGAAAGATGTCAACTCACTGGCTAAATTGCAAAGGACACTTTAACAGCTAACAGAAACAGGTGCTAAGAGAGCGGCATGGCCTCAGCCCCTAGAGGACTGCCTCTCTCTTCTCTCCAGAACATCCTCCCAGGCCAGCCACCTGCGGTTCTGAAGGGGGAAGCCTGCAGCTGAGCATGGCCCAAGGGTCACGGGATCATGAAGGAGGGGCCCAGGCACAGGGTGGGAGCAGCTAACCTGGCTCTGGCCACTTGCTTGCACCCTGTGTGCCACTGTATGGGATGAAGTCCAGGGACACCTCATACTGGGCACAGAGTAACAAGGACAGACAGGGACACTTTTCCCCCCTTATTTCTTTTCGAAGCAAGGAGAAACTTTCACAGGTAGGCCTCTGCAGCGGGGCAGATTAGAAACTTGGAAGGCCTTCCTGCCCCACTGCTCAGGATGCATGCTGAGTTTCTAAGAGTGCACTTAGTCTGTTTCTACACCCCAAATTGCTCTGTACACTGCCACTACCCCCCAAAACAGTTAGAGTCACCTTTAACAGCCTACATCTCTAGAGGAAACAATGACATGTGACTATCAAAACAGGGGTTGTGCTATCAAAGCAATTATGAGACGCCTGGGGGCTGGCAACATAGCTCAGTGATCTAAAGCACCTGCTTAGGCAAGCTTAGGCAGCGCTGGGGACCGCAGTTCGATCCCCAGCACCACATGCCGCACCAGCCCCGCCCTCAGCGCACGATAAGCTGCCAAACAACAACAACAAAATCTCATTTAAAAAATGTAAAGCTTTTTTAGAATTATGTTCGCAGCTGCTGCTGAGCTGTTGTTGCTCTCTAGTGCCAGTAACATCTCTCGCTCGCCGAGCTCCAGCCAAACGAGAAGGGGTAAGGAGGTCCCTGTACCATGGCTCGTACCAAGCGGACTGCCCGTAAATCCACGGGTGGAAGAGCGCCCAGGAAACAACTGGCTGCAAAAGCCACTCGTAAGAGTGCGCCCTCTACTGGAGGGGTGAAGAAACCTCATCGGTACAGGCCCGGGACTGCCACACTCCGTGAAATTGGACGTTATCAGAAGTCTGCTGAACTGATGTGCAAACTTCTCTCCAGTGTCCGGTTGGAGAAATTGCTCAGGACTTCAAAACAGATGTGTGCTTCCAGAGCGCAGCGATCGGTGCTCTGCAGGGGCACTGAGGCCTCGCTGGCTGGCCTGTTTGAAGACACCAACCTGAGCGCCATCCACGCCAAACGTGTCACAGTTATGCCAAAAGACAGCCAGCTAGCACGCCGCAGACGTGCAGAACGTGCGTGAGATGGCAGGAAACATGTCATTCTCGAAAATTTGTTTTTCCTTTTCTCTCTGTTATTGGTAGTTTTGAATGTTAGGTTTTTTGGGTTTTGGTTTTTGGTTTTTTTTCCCGTGGGGGAAAAGTACCTAAGTATATGAATGCAAGTGGAAAATAGGGGACAGGAATCAGGTATTGGCAGTTTTCCATGTTCACTTGTGTGTGCGTTTTTATCTTCATGCGGGATGTAAAGTGTCAATGCAAACCAAAAATGCTGAGTGAGCGAGTTTCAGCCCTTCAACTCGGTAACAATTATAAATAAAAATCTGTTAAATTTTTCTGCAAAACGCCAGCATTTGGATTTTTTTATAACAAGTAAATTTCTTATTGACAGCAACTAAACGGTGTTTGTGGCATTTTTAATCACATAGTGGATTCAATCCAGTCACTATACTTTTCTAAGCTGTCTTACATTCTAGTACATGCTTTTAATGTTGTCTGTCTTTCTGTGCTGTTCCTGAAAGTTTACTATTAAAATACATTAAGCTGGAGAGAGAGAGAGAGAGAGAGAGAGAGAGAGAGAGAGAGAGAGAGAGAGCGAGCCTGAATAGCTGGATAGCTCCATCAGATAGGCCACTAGCTGAGAGTCTGTAAACTACTTTGCTTTCAAAAGTATAAAAGGTGTTTATTCTTTCTGATTCTTATTACAAGAGATCTTTATTAATTGACCTATAAAGAAGTTCTGACTAATCTCTGGCTACAAACCTAAAACTATAAAAGGATTAGTGTAAGTTAACTTGGCCAAGCACTTCTGACTACACTCTGGTCTGCAACAACTGTCTTAAGTATACCTGTCTGTCTTTTCAATCTGTGACCACTGGCAACGTCTGTAGGTGTTTGCTTCGAGCTCAACAATTGTTTCTTCTTCTTGATTTTATGGATCTTTAAAATATGTTTTACAATTGCTATTTATTTGTTTATTTATTTATCTGATACAGGGTCTCACTCTACAGCTCCGACTCATAGTGATCTTTTGCCTCATCCTCCCCAGTACTGGGATTACGGAAATGTGCCACCATGCCCAGTTCCAGTAGCTGGCACAGCACACTCCAGGTTCTGAGGCCCGCATAGGATGTGGTACTGGGGACTGAACTTGGGTTCTTGTGCTTGCCAGGCAGACGCTTAGACCACCAAGCTATCTCCCCAGCTCTGGATCTTTAAAATATTATGTCTACAATTTAAGACGGCTGCTAGGTAAGAGTCAGGAGAGATAAAGACACGCTTCCACCCAGGTTGCCAGCTGATAAAATGATGTCAAGGCTGGGTTTACAATAACTTGGGAGTCTAACAACATGTTCATTGCTGTGATTTGGTTAATACCTGAGGAGACTTAACTACAAGAGATTAAACAGCAAGAGGTTAACTTTGATTAACAAAGGCCTAACTTTAATGTGGTCTTAAACATTCAACAGTAAAGTATAACCAAAAGATTTATGAAAACAAAACCACAGTAATAAAAACTAGCTAAAAAGGGGGCTCCAATCTCTGAACCTTCTGGAGTTTCCAGCCACATCAGTAGCTGACCACCATTAAGGTTCAGTGAAGCTAAAATACTATGGAGGAACCTACAAAATCTCAACAAGAATCATTCCTTCCTTAGCTAAAAATGTTCTTCAAAATCACCAAATTGTCCATCTTCTTTCAGCTAAAACTAGAAGGACTTGTGACAAAAAATAGCAGACTTTTTATAACCTCCTTCAGTAAAGGGGGTCTAAGAGCCAGCTGTTTACAACCGCTGTTCCAGTGCCTTCAAAGCCGTGTCTGGGCCTGGGGAAATAGCTCAGAGTCTTAAGCACCTGTCTGGCAAGCCCAAGGTCCTGAGTGTGAGCCCTGGTAACAAAAAAAAAAAAAGCAACTTCTCGTCCTGGCTTTCTCCCCCAACCTGCCTTTTCATTATAGTGTTCATGCTTTGACTATGTATGCTTTAATTTCTTGGAAAATTTTGTTTATTCTTTCCTACAAGCTGTCAAACTCCACGTTATCATGCAGAGGGAACCAACAAAAAAATATGCTAGGCTTTTACCAGGATACACTAGATTCGAACAGAGTTTATAACTACTAAAATGCAACATAATTTCTATCCAAAGCCCATCAGATTAGCTTTCTGGAGGAGAGTCTTCTTCAGCTCTAAGCAGCTAGCTGGAAACTATCCCCCTTCTCCCTTCACTGCAGGCAAGAACACCTCTTCTAAGGGGGCAATACTCTAGACGGAGTCAGTGCAAGAAATGAAGAGAACACATCAAAACTGGGGCTGGAGACACAGCTGAAAATTAAAATCACAATAAACACATTTACATACTTTCCTAAGGGATAAACGGAAGCCAGAGATGACTGGTACCACTCTTTTGAGATCGACAGTACAAATAACCCATTGTCCCACTGAGGCGGGCCTTCCTCTCCTACACTAAGAGTAAGATCACTGATCACTGATCAAGGTTAATAATGTCACCGACATGGTCTTGCTGCTACTGGGTCAACATGGACCAGGCAGCCGCACTTGCAACTGTATTAGCTGATCACAGCTTCGACCAACATTGCGCCCACCGCGTGACTTTGCCCTATAAAACTCTGGCAGAAGTAGACTGGCAGCCCACCTGGGGCCTCTCCTGTACCTCAGGAGCTATTCTATTCCCCAACAAATTTTCCTACTCTTAAAAAAGAATTACAGACTAATATAGATAGATTGGGTTTTTGTTGTTTAGGGGGTTTTTTGGTACCCGGAATCAAACTCAGGACCTTATACTTGCAAGGCAGGTGCTGTGCCACTGAGCTACATCCCTGGCCCTCTGATTTCTCTATAAAAATAAACACCAATTTAACTCAATATTTACATGGAAAATTCCAAATTATAAAAATTTTAAGAGACAATAAAAGTGTACTTTATGGCCTCATAAAAGGTTAACAATATTTTTAAAAAACAAAAAATTTGTTATTCTATATTATAATACTTTTGTTCATTAAAGGATATTAAGAAAATAGAGGGATAAACAACAAATTAGGAAATATAGCACTTCAAATGAGTACCCAAAATATGTAACTCTCATGTGTAAGACAAGCAATCCAAGAAAAAAGAAGTTGTAAAAGAAAATAGAGGTCCCTAGATGTATGCAATGACACTGAGATTCTTTGGGAATTAGGTAAACAAGTAAAACACCTGTCAGTTTAGGAAGTCCAATAATGTCAAGGGCAAGTCAGGGAGCCATGAGTGTTCCAAGGCTCTGGGAGGTGAGGCCGCTGGTACAAGTTCTTTGGAAAACAGCCCAGCAAGGGTATACCTTCCCATTCAGAAACTTCAGTCCTTAGTCTGTGTCTATTAGGAAACACACACAGTTGCTCAGAACCAGAGAAAGTGGCCAACAACTCAAATTCCAGTAATATAGTCAGAAATCAAAATGACTTTTGTCTGCAATAAACTCAATGACCTGTGACGCTCAATGAATTAAGTGGAAGAATCTAAGTAGATGATGTCCCTCAATACCTTTTCAGAAAGTAATTAGTTTAAACTAAAGATAAATAGAATTTTAAAATTAGGTAACAAGCTCAAGGAAAGCTGCTGGGTCATTGTCACTTACTAGTCCTTAAAAGATTTTCACAGTGCTGTACTAGGTATTGTGAATGTTTCCAAGACTTACACTATTTTTAACTTTATTAGTACACATGTACAGCACACAGTGATTATACTCAACAAGGGGAGCTGCCACACGGACACAGCACACGTGACATTTCCATGGTGTGGCCTCTCTGTCCTGTCTCTTGTTCCCTTCCCTCCCACTCCATTCCCCTGTAAAACATCTCTCCCCGGTTTCTACCATCTTTCATTCTGCTCATCACTCATACTTTGGGTTTCTCACAGAAGAGAAATGATGTGCTGTTTACGCTTGTGTCCAAGACGTACACTACGAGGCCCTCTAAGAGGTAACAACTAAATTCCCCATAGCTTTGGATACTATATTAGCCCCAGAATAAATGTTAGATTACACAGAATGAAACAAAGCTACAGATTTCATTTGTTACTTATAGAAAGTTCTTTGATTGCCGAAGTCCAGTTAAAATATCGTTATCGGGGTCCAGCTGCAAAATGGCAAACATGGTGTCAAGCACTCCGAGAAAAAGGATGGGTCCTAAGCCAGAGCTGACTGAAGAGCCAAAACAGGAAGTCTGGGAAACTTCTGAGCTCTTTGATGCAGATGGGACCAGGCCCATCAATGTAAAGAAACTAAAGGTGACACTGAGAGCCCTGGGCTTTGCGCCCAAGAAAGAAGAAATCAAGAAAATGATAAGCAAAACTGGTAAGGAGGGCACAGACAAGTGAACTTCAGGGACTTTCTGACCATGACGACCCAGAAAATGTCTGAGAAAGATACCAAGGAAGAAATCCTGAAGGCTTTCAAGCTCTTCGATGATGATGAAACCAGGACAACACTGTTCAGAAATCTGGCACATGTGGCTGAGGAGCTGGGCGAGAACCTGACCGATGAGGAGTTTCAGGAGATGACTGATGAGGCCAACCAAGATGAGACAGCAAGGGTGGCAATCAGGAAGGAGTTCCTGCCTCTAGTGAGACCCATGTCATGTCTCCTGCTGCAAGCACATGTGACTAGAGCAGTGTCTGCTGGCCTGTGAAATCCGGCTCCCTGCCTCCCTGCAGAACCTCAGCCACGGCACTGAATCTGACCCGGACTTCTGGAAGATTTTGTAATATTTAAGTTCTTTGTAAAATGGAAAAAAAAAAAAAAATCGTATCACCCACAATGTGCTTTTTCAAAGTGAAAATAGTTTGTATTTAAAGGAGATGCAGCCAGGTGTGGTGCATGCCTGCAATTCCAGCACTGGGAAGGCTGACTAAGGAGGATGACAAGTTCAAGGTCAGCCTGTGCTACAGGCCACAATGGGAACAACTACGTATCGAGACCCTGTCTCCAAAAACCAAAAAGAAAATCTACTTTGGTATTTGGCTATAGAGGTA